AGCAGGGTGGAATGCAGGGGCTGTGTTCCGTGACAAAGGAGAGATATTTTTTTTCCTATTTAGCCAAGTACTGCAGTTCTGTCCTCCAGAATCTCAGATATTTTTAGCTGAAAGAAATCTTGGTTGGCATCAGCTACTTCTAATCCATTCTGCTCATTTTACACATGAGGCGTTTAGATCACCAAAGGTTAAGTTACTTTTTCAAAATCACCAGGAAGGAAGGGACAGGGGAGGCTAAACTAGCCCAGAAGGCCCAGAGCCCCAGACTGGAGCTGTCACTCCTGCTCTGTACCTTCACCTGAACTGAAGCTCTTGGCTGTGGCAAGCAGTGGGAAGTGATGGAGGTACAGCCTGGGCCTTCACCATCATTGGAAATACTGGTTGAGCATGCCTTAATGACCAAGGGAAGCATTAAAGCAATTTTAATAACCAGCTGTTGGGCATGTCAGTGCCTTGGGTTCCTTTGTTAATGCAGAGACTACAAATGGATTGTAACTATCAGATACAGCACCTCAATCCCACTTATATAGAGGCAAGGGTTCAAGGATACAGGTGCACAGAAAGCCCAGTGTATCACAAGGTACCCTGAGATGGCAACAGAGATGGTGATAGAGGTGGGGTGGAGACTTTGACTTCCCATCTTTACATACCCAGTCTACCAGCTTTTCTGACTTTGTTTCCCAGTCTAGACTGCCTTGTGCTCTTTTTGACCGTATATTACCTGCCTAGAAAGGGAGAAGGGCACATCAGACAGGTATTTGTGCCACTGAGCTGTATCACCAGCCCTAGGGGCACACCAAATAGTGCAGTGCAATCTGAATTTGTTATGTCTAGGACAAGTTCAGAATATGAATATTTACTGGCAGGTTGGACTAAGAAATGAAGAGCAACATAGAATAAAGTGCAAGATAAGTTGAAATGAATGTTAAGAGTTTTATTCTAAAATTATTGCAAATTCCTGAATTGATATCTAGATAGATAGATAGGCATGCATTACACAATTACACAGACACACATACACATATACACATAGACACTTACTTCTAAATCCTACACTTCATTCAGTGAGGCCCAGTTCTAGCTGCTCTATAAATCCGTCCCTGTTTTTCTCTTGAACTATTCTTATCTCCAAGTTTCTAAAGTACACATACCCATAACGTAAACTTTTCTCCTCAGTTAAAATGTGAGCTCTACTTATTTGCCCCCCTGCACAGTAGTCGGCACACAGTAAGTACTCAAGTACTTAACCCAGCAACATTCAAGGGAGGTGCCACAGGGGGCTGGGGATTTAGCTCAGCGACACAGTGCCTGCCTGGCAAGCACAAGGTTGTGAGTTCGATTCCCGGTACTGGACAAAAAAAAAAAGGGAGGTGCCACAGAGACACGTGGATCCGGTTCAGGCCCTGGATCCCAGCTGCGGCGGTGGGCCACAGTGATCCTAAACGGCTCCTAGGATTGCCTTCCCTGAATTTAACTGAATTTTAAAACCTTGGTATTTTTTGAGGGTTGCAACAATTACTTGCTGCTTCTGCTATTTAAAAAAAAAGTTGTAGGAGGACACTGTCTATCACACCACTCAAGGTCCCCTTATATAAAGCCACACATTTTAAAAATAATTCCATGCCCCCAAAGCCCTGTTTCCCCTTAGTGTGTTATGTGTCTGGGCCAAGAGCACTCTCTGCTGCTCTCTTTCTATTGGGAGACCACTGGCCTGGCTGGGTTTCCTCTTTCCCCTGACAGTCACAAGGCTCAGAGACATTCAAAGCTGGATCACACACATAATTGTTATATATGTTGATATATGTGTTTTCCTTGTACAGGGTTTCAACTTTTTTCTTACGTCTTATTAGTTGCTATTTTAAAACTTTTTTTTTTCTTTTTTCTCTTTGTGCAGTGCCAGGAATTGAACCCAAGGCCTCGTGCATGCTAGGCATATGTTCTACCACTGAGCTAACCCTAGCCCTTAACTTTTTTTTTTTTTTTTCTAATAACAAAAGTGTTTAAAATCATGATGAATTTTGGAAAATAGAAAAAAAAAAAAAAAAGAAACTGCCAGTACTTTATAACACTTCAATTTAGGTCTATAATATGTCTTTATATATTGTTGAAAATTGTAGAATAAAAAGGTCTAGAAATAACAGTGATGTATACGATTCCCTCATGTGAAAGAAATCCTGAGGCAGGTGATCTAGGTATGATACGGTGATGCCATTGCATTGTCAGGAACACAGATTACTGTCTTTCTATTCTGTTGTCAGCTTCATGAGGCTCCTAGAGTGACCTCAAAGTCTCTCCTTGCCCAAAGTGGCTGTCAGAATTGCACCCATATTGTCTGCATTCCAGGGAGACAGAAAGGGCAAAGGGAAGACAAAGGATCAACTCTCTGCCTTTTGAGGAGCCTTTCTAGATAGCAGCCTGCTATGGTTTAGATCTAAAATGTTCCCCTAACGTCTCATATGTTCAGAAGTGGGGCTTTGGAAGGTGCTCGTAAGGGCGCCAGTCTCATCAAAGGGTCGATCCATTGCTGAGTTCATAGCTGAGTGGCTGTTCGGAGGTGGGGCCCTATGGAGGAAGTACATCATTGGGATGTGTCTTTGAAGGGTGTATCTTTTCTTTGACTCTCTTCCTGCTCACTCCATGTCCCAGCTGTCGTGAGATGAGCAGCTTTCCTCCACCACACACTTCTGCCGTGATCTTTGTACCTGGGAGCCAGGCAACTAGGAATCAAAAACCTCTGAAACTGTGAGCCAAAATAAATCCTTCCTCCTCTAAGTTAGTTTTTTTCAGGTATTTAGGCACAGAGACAAAAGGCTGACTAATACATTAACCTTTCAAAAACTGGCCAGAATTTAGTCCCAAAGACTCACCTAGCTACAAGGGAAGCTGGATTATAAGGATTTTCTCATATTCCAAATTTTGTTTTTTGCACATTTCCAGGTTCTGTTACTAAAGATGAAGGGGAGACTTACTCTTGGAATCAGCAGTCAGCTACATTTCCAAGTCTCTCTCTCCCTCCCTCTCTGTCTCTCTCCCTCCCTCTCTGTCTCTCTCTGTGTCTCTGTGTCTCTGTCTCTGTCTCTCTCTCTCTATATATATATATATAATTGTATCTTTAGTATTTATTGAAGCCATCTCAAATAGTTAATGGAAAGAGCTAAAAGTATAAGTAGACGTCAATCAATAGTTAAATATCAGTCAGCAAAAGGTACTACATTTTGTTACCCTGTAAGCTTTAACATTCTGTCCTTCCCCCTTTTTCTATGAATTTTCTCTTGCACTTAAACTAATCGCATATTTTTAAGATATTTGATCAGTATAAACTTCTCCAGAGCTAGAAGAGACCTTAATTTTCTCTAAGAGGTGCGTATTCCAATGCTTACAGGGTACATTCAGGTACTAGAAACAGTTACGGTGGGCCAGGAGCTGGGGTTGAAGATGATAAGGGGTGGCGGGGCAGTGCTGAGGGCTGGAGAGAGCCTCTGCCTTATCTGTTGAGGCCTGTTCCTTGTTGCCATGTGACAGTGCTGGCTCCATCTTGCCAAATCGTAGAATTTTTTCAAAGTGAAACCAAAACTCTAGATTTTTATCTGAACTCTTCTAGTGTTTATAACTTGACAAGTCTATAATTTGGTATACTCTCCCAGCCCATGCACTACCAGTTTGGGATCTCTGGTCTGCCCCAGGCCTGTTCCTCGGCCAACAGCTGAGCCTGGTGGGATGTGGCTGTCATGAGGCTGGAGACCCTGCTTGGCAGCCCCCACCTCACCACACTCCTCTGTGGCTAATTTGTGAGGAGATCATAAGAATGAAAAGTGGAGCAGGACTATTGGGAAGGTTAACTGAATCTCCCTTTCGACTTACATTTTCTTCTTCAATCATTCTGCTGTGGTGGGATCAGGAAAAAAAGCAAGGCTTGAATCCCAGCTCAGCTTTTACAGTGACTCTCACCAAGCCATTCGGTTTTGTTTTGCTTGCTTCTCTCTCTTTCTTGCTTTTAAGTAGCATAGCCTGATAGTTAAGAGCATAGTCTCTGGAGCCAGGGATGAATCCTGGCTTTTCTACCTACTACCTCTGTGATCTTGAGCAAATACTTAAACTTCTTAGGCCTCAGTTTCCTCATCTGTAAAATAGGGTAATAATCCCATCTACTTTACTGGGCATGGGAAGGATTAAGAGTTAGTATGCATGAATATGAAGAGCTTGATGTATACAAGCTCAAAGATACAACTACGTAAACATTGGCTATCTCCTGTTCTTATTTTGGCTTCTTCTGCTGCTTTGGAATCTATAGATTTTCTAGCACATTTTCAAGGAGGCTCAGGACTCTGGGTTCTTCATCTCACAGTGAGCACTTGTTGCTTCCACTGCCCCTCGCAGCCTGCCTCTGAGAACCTGCACAGACATGATGGTGCTTCAGCCCCGTACCTACTGCGTTCAGCTCTGTCTTAAGCTCTGTTCTAGTACCTTACTTTTCAGCCCATCTCTCCCTTTTGTTTTCCTTAGCACACATTTTTCCTGCTATGGCCACATGTTTGGGAGAGAAGGAACATGTCAACTGGCTGCACTATCTTGACCTAGGGCCCCCTTAGTTATTACATTGGCCACATAGATATGATGTCTGTCCTACTTGGCATTTCTGAAGGGCATGTTAGGAACTGACTCATAAAAGCAGCACAGGTTGGCTTTAACCAGGACAGGGAACACTGCAGATAACTGTAATGAGAACCCACCTCAAAAACAAAATAAAACAAAGTGTCTTTTTTTTCTCATGACATTAAGTGCAGAGAAATTTAGACTGTTTCATTTCTTTTTGTTTTGTTTTGTTTTGTTTTGTTTTTGTTTTTGTCCGGTACCAGGAACCGAACTCATGACCTTGCGCTTGCCAGGCAGGCGCTTTTGCCACTGAGCTAAATCCCCAGCCCAAGAGTGTTTCATTTCAATTAAGCAGTATTTTCTCATTCTTTAAAATATCACCCTCCAATCTTTTTTTCATCTTTTAGGTTAATTTAAACAAGAGATCTGACCTGACAAACCCAACTGTACAAGTGCAACTCTTCAAGGAAAATTAATATTTGCCCTGAGAGGAACAAGTAACATAGGTATGTATTGCTAAAACTCTCATTCTTCCTGCTTCTCTCCAACTCACATGTTAGTAAGCATGGAGTAGAAGTGGGAAGGGAAGGATTTATTTTTCAATTCCATAAAAGGTACTACTCTAGACCAATGTGCACTGGACGCCAGGCCCCCGCATTACTGGGCAGTATTTCTGCAGTGCTAGAGATGGAACCCAAGGCCCACAGCTGGGCCACGCTCCTGTACTCTGTATTACTCTGTCTCTTTCTAACAAAGAAGACAAGAACTCTCCCAGATCCGTTTTCCCAGCACACAGTCAGAGAAACTTTGGAATTTCTGATAGGTTTCTAGTGTAGGCCTTCCATTTCGTAGATTTAAAGTCCATAATTAACCAGCTGCTGCCTCACCTTGGGTGTTTGTTGAGCATTAGTCTGACTAGCTTAGGTGACAGGGCTCCAACAGGGTGAGGGATGGGGTATGCACCGTGACCCCTTGAGCATCTTTAAGTGCACTTGTGTGTAGTTCTTTAAGCCATAGGCCCTTTGAACTTTGATTAATGCCATGAAGCCTCTCCCCAGAAAACTGCACTTACGTACAAGCTTTCATGTCTGATTTCAGGGAATTCCAGGACCCTAAAATCCCACAGGAGATCCACAGACCCTCAAGTTAAGAATCCTGGTCTTGGAGGTTTATAGATAGCCTTTGGGGGACCTGACTGACCCCAGAAGTGAGATGATATGTCACCAGAAGCAAAGATTTAAGAAAATTGCTCAATAGGTCAAATGTTGATGAAGTTGAGAGGGCATTCCAAGATCTAGCCTTGATGCAAAATTGTGTCAGGGAGGTTTTAAAAAATAACTTTCACTAGGGGTGGTGGCACACACCTGTGATCCCAGGATTGCAAATTCAATTCTTTTCTGGGCAACTCAGCAAGACCCTGTCCTAATTTTTTTAAAAAGGGCTAAGGGTGTAGCTCAATATGAAGGCACTGGGTTTATTAATCCCCGGTACCACTAAAGAAAAATCTTTTCTTGCCCTGATGATGGAAGTGTACTTAAACGGCTATGCTCATTGATTTTCATTCCTCACTGAGTTGAGAGCCCTTGCCAGAGATCATCTGCAGTGTTTTTGGGTCCTGTATTTGCTAAAGTTGCCTTGATTTTAGAAAAGGATTCCTGAGGTCTGTCTGGACCTGCCTTAGGTCTCAGGGGCTGTGAGTCAGCTACACCCAACTCACTTTTTGGAGATTGTTTGTGCTACCTGTTTTGTCTCTATCCTTGGCTACCAGAGTTTTCATAATGACTGATTTTCACAGAGGCTACTTGAAATCATTCCAGAGGAAGCAGTTGTCATAGATACCTGAGCTGTAGGAGTTACCATTTTCTTCTTCTTTCTCTTCCTCCTCCTTCTCCCCTCCCCTTCCTCCTCTTCTTCTTCTTCTTCCTCTCCTCTTTCACCCTCTTTCCCTAATCCCGCTCTTCCCCTCCTCCTTCTTCATTAGCTTGCATTTTCCCTAATTCTTAAGGTAACATCTGATGCTCTGTTACTCAGCTGAGCAGCAAAGAAAAGGCTGAAGTTTTGTTACTGTTACATTTGTTTAGTTCAGTGTGTGTGTGTGTGTGTGTGTGTGTGTTGTATGTAAAGTAAAGCTACTTTAAAACGTGAATATTAAGGGTGTTTGGGGACTATCATACGCATATATCGTTTCTGTCCTGTAATTTTAATTTTGGGGCTAGTGGTCGAATTTGGTCTGCTCTTGGCCTAATTTTGTACTAGTGGATACAGCCAGGCTCCTGCAGGAAAAAACGTGCCACATTCATTGTCACACTGCCTGAAACTCCCAGAGCCATGGCCACTGTGACTTGGGCTGAGTCAGAACTCGACTCTAGTACGAGGGCCTCCGAAGAGCAGATGGCTGGGTCAGGCTGAGAGTGCTTCATCTGCTCAGCCTGCTCTGAAAACAGAGAGATAGGACAGCAGGCAGGACAGTGTTCCTGGCACCCGCGGTCCCATCCACGTTCCCACCCAAGGCTGTAAACACAACACTTCACACACATCTGCTGCTCCGGGTATGGATTAAGTATACAGAGAGCTTTGAGGGGGCCTGTTCACAGAAATAAGTGTACTGGCCCTAGTCCTACACCTGCCTTTCTCACTAGTTCTATTTTTCTTACTCTCAAAAAGACACAATAGTCAGCTTTTTCCAATCTGCTTACCTTGGAAGTGCTCATGAAATTAGAGAAAGAAAACCATGCTGGCTCCAGTCTAGGAACACCCAGGGCTGTGCTCCTGTGATCGGGTGGCTGCCAGCGCATCAGTGGTTGTGAGGCGCGGATGGTATCTTCCCGGGTGTGCTCTGTGGACTCACGTGTCCTGATCACAGCAGGATGTGCCTCTGTTGTGCGGTGTGGTCCACCCCTCCTCAGACCTGTCCCTCTGCTCCCCAGATCAAGATGAATGCCATGATGGACACCCCTGAGCTCCCAGCCGTATTTGATGGGGTGAAACTGGCTGCAGTGGCTGCTGTGCTGTACGTGATTGTCCGGTGTTTGAACCTGAAGAGCCCCACAGCCCCGCCTGACCTCTACTTCCAGGACTCAGGACTGTCACGTTTCCTGCTCAAGTCCTGTCCCCTTCTGACCAAAGAGTGAGTAAACTGTGTCTTCCATATACTAACCTGCTGACCTGTTTGCCTCTGGGTGGTGTTCAGAGAAGACCTTCTCAGGCTGGGGGGCAGGGGAGGGCTCAGTGGTGGAGTGCGTATTTAACCTGCACTATATCCTCGGTTTGATCCCCGGCATCTCCCATCCCTGCAAAAAGAACCTTCTCATATTGTGTCCTTAAGGCACTGATGGAAAATGGCTTCATTGCTGTTAAAACAGCCCGACCTGACGGCAGCCCAGTGTTTAAATCCTGGAGAATATGAGAGAGGATAAAATCTTTATTGCCTGCAAGCATCTTGTCTTCCACAGTATGGTGTTGTGACCCATGACAAGGACCTTGTGGAAAGCATTAGTCATTTGTAGGTAGACGTGGAAGACTGGACAGTATTCTAGCCCTTTAGCTAATACCCTGTTGCCCATCCTAGGACAGAGGAACCATCCTATCCAGAATGAGTGATAAACAAAAAGGCACAGACCCGTTGGTTGGATACTCTCCTTGCCATACTGGAAACTGCACCAAGCATTAGCTGAGAGCTGTCCCCTGAGGAGAGTGGCTTCACCCCAATGGGGCAGGTCTCCCTGCAAAGGCCATGTCTGAGTTTTGGAAGTGGCAGGAGGGGCACTGCTTCTGACAGAGGAAGCCGCAGGGAATCCATATTCTGGGTCATTCATACTGCTTCATGCAATGCGTTGTGAAATACCCGCTCCCCAACCCTGTGAATGTCGTCCGATTATGTCCAAGCCTTATTCACTCCCCATCAGGCTGAAGTCCGCCTCTTTGCCGTGGCTGCTTTGCTCTGTGCCCTTGCCAACTCATTCCTCTCTCCTGCTGCACCTCGGAGACGCAGCTGGCTGCTTGGAGAGCGGTCTTGTTTTGTTTGTTTGTTTGTTTTTGTTTCTTGTTTTTTGTTTTTCCAGTACCGGGGATCAAACTTACAACCTTGCACTTGCTGAGTAGGCACTGTGCCACTGAGCTAAATCCCCAGCCCGAGAGCTGTCTTTCTTTGTGTCCCCTCAACATGAGACTAGCAGAGTTTCTGATACCTGGTGGGTAGTAACATAGTAAAAGCTTTGCTCCTTCACCCTCTTTTAGGGATTGGTACACTGGGTGAATGATTCTCCCCTCAGACCAAAGAGCAGCAGAAACATCTGAGTGTTTGGGTTTTACTTTGTCTAGCTGACTGTCGCAGGCCCTTAGACAAGGGTGAAGGCCTTCCCCTGTGGGCTTTGACATTTGGGTGTTCGTGTGTAGTTTTCTCATCGTTGTAAGAGTGATGCCGTAACTCCACGTCAAGTAAGATGGTGCCTAATTCTGGTAGAGCATGGTGCACCACATAATGTCATCATGTTAGTCTAGAACTGCCCCTGCTGAGGGACTATATGTTGTGTGGCCTCCACAGCTTGGCACCAAAATAAAGATGTAGTGTTTTTATTATGCAGTGTTTGCAGTTAAAAATCTGCTGTTCCAGTCATAGTGACACATGCCTATAATGCCAGCTACTCAGGAGGCTGAGACAGGAGGATCACAAGTGCGGGCCCAACATGGACAACTTAGCAAGATTCTCTCTCAAAATAAAAAGTAAATTAAAAAGACTGGTGATGTGGTTCAGTGATAGGGTACTCTTGAGTTCAATCCCCACAATTATAGAAAGAAAAAAGAAAAGAAAAGAAGAAATCTGCTCTGTAAAGGGCATGCACAGTAACTGTGTTTGAAAATTGCCCATCATTTTTCTTACTTGTGTTCTGAATGTTTCTTCGGTACTTATGTAGATAAATCACTAATTTGGATTGCTTGGTGACCTTTTACCTACTTTCTGTTTGTTTGTTTGTTTGTTTGTTTTTTCTCCAGACCGGGAACCGAACTCATGACCTTGCGCTTGCCAGGCAGGCACTTTTGCCACTGAGCTAAATCCCCAGCCCTCCTTTTACCTACTTTCATATTAAGTGGGACTCTCATTTTTGAAGAGCTTTTAAAAATCAAGATTTTTAGCCACATGCAGTGGTGCATGTTTGTAATCCCGGCACCTAGGGAGGCTAAGGCAGGAGGATCACAAATTCAAGCCCAGCCTGGGCAATTTAGCAAGACCCCATCCCCAAATAAATTTTAAAAATGGCCCACGGATGTAGCTTAGTGTGAAGGCCTTGGGTTCGATGCCTAATACCACACACGCACACACAAAAATCCACCAACATATTCAAAATCCTGCAAGTTTATATGCAGATGAGAATTAAATTTGCACCCAGCTTTGGCCCCTGAGTAATTAGAAGGAGAAAGGCATAAAAAAGCAGCTTTTACTCAGGCTCTGGGGAAACACTGTGTAAGGTCTGATTGTGTACTAATTGTTGAAGTGTAAATAAAAGCTGATTATGGCAGTTTTTACCTCCTTGTCTTAGTTTCCTTTTAAAAATAACCAGAGACATTGACTCCCGGGTCTTCCTTTGCTTCTTTCCCTTCCGGCACCGTTCTCCATAAGCCTGAGGTATTGACCTGGTACTATGTGACTTCTGTTGAGATGACTCAACCTCCCCCTGGGAGAGGAGAGGGGCCCTGTCTGTCCCCATCTCCTTGGAGGTGAAGGCTATGTGTGAAAAGTGAACATCCACCTGTGTGCTGCTGGCAGCAGCTCGGAGCCTCTGATCACTGGCCATCGCCACTCTACCCCTGGTGAAGCCCGGATGAGGAGGGTGCTGGTGGCCTGGGTTCAAGGAGAGCTGATGTTGCTTAGGAACTTAGCTGTGGTTTCAGGTGGGCATGAAAAGACAAGTTCCCCCCAACTATTTACTTCCAGGGCGTATCTCTTGGATTTATAGGACCAACCTATAAATCATGTCACAGCGTTACGTAAGCACCCTCTGGCTCGAAATGACAGATGACTAGAGGGCAAAGGGATTCTTTCTTTTCCACTTTTAGTTAACATCTTATTTCTGGTATAGATTCTAATTTTAGGACTAGCGCTATCCTGTGTTCGTGTAGCACATTGGTAACATGTTTTCATGTTGCTTTCTCTCTTCCACGTCACTGCATTTGAAATGACATTCTGCCATTTAATCCTCTTAAAAATTTAAAGGTCAGATTCATTTTTCCTGTCATTTTAAGGATGAGGAAACCGGGAGTAGCAGAAGAAAGCTGAACGAAAACTGGGGCCAGTTTTCCTTCTCCTCCATGGAGAAGAACACGAGCCACCTTCCCGGGGTGGGGGCAGGAGCTGAGGCCAAAGCAGGAAGAGGCCAGCCCACAGGAGCAGGAGGAGCAGGGCTGGCCTCCCGTGGCCTTTGATCCCCGCGTGACCTCTTTCTATTTCCATCCCTCCGGGGGATGCCATTATCCCCTCATGTTCTGTTACTTGCCACATTTCCACAGTGGCCACTCATGTGTTTGAAGCTGAGAGCAGGAAGTGTCTGTTCCGGGTAAAAGTGCTTCTCTTGGAACTTTGAAGCTGTGTTCCTAGGAGGAAGCTGGTCTGCAGCCTCACAGGCACTTGCCCAGGCTGGAAGGTTCAGCTACGTGATTCGCAGCGAGTTGCTGCCGTCATTCAGTAGCCCTGACTGCAGGCAACTGGTTATTACAATGAAGGTGCGAATCAGAACATACCCTCTTGCTGCTCTGCAGCAGGGAACTAGTTGATGAAAGGTGAAGATTGCAAGCCTGCTGTGAGAGTAAGGATTCTTCCTTTTGCCCCTCTCAGCATTAAAGTTAGTTTTAAATCTGTTTTGACCCAAAGAGACATCATCAATGAATCTTTTACTGTCTGGAGGAAAACTTTGCTTTGATGGGAGGATGTGCCTCTTGTTCACTTAGCAGCAGATCAATACTTGCCTAGTGATTTGTTTTTTGTTCTCAAGAAGTGTTTGCTTTTAGTGGAACAAGCAGACCAAAGCTCAGTCATGAACTGAGAAAAATCAAGATGGTGATACAAATGTCCATAATAAATTTAATACACATTTATTTTTTAAAAGTAGAAAATAAAGCACTCAAAAATCATTTATAATTTTACCCAAAGATAACATACCATTGCTATCTTGGTGTTCACTTCTGTGGTTTTTATCTTCTTTATACACAGTGTGTGCCCCACACAGAATCAGTGTATACTTTGCTTTGTATTTGTGTTATTTTGTTTTGTTTTGTTTTCATGATGTTAGGGATCAAACCTGGGTCCCTGAGTATGCTTGGCAAACTCTCTACCACCATGCTCTGTGTATCCCCAGCCCAGGACGCTGTTTACATATTACTCGGTAACCTGTTTTAATACTTGGTAGGCCACAAGCATTCACCCATGCTGCAATCTCTCTTCTTCACAGCTTCAGAATTCTGTCATTCTTTCAAATTCCCTCATGGTTTTTGGCCACAGTGGTGTAGAGAAATTTGGAGTAGGACGCAAACCTAGGTCCTTTTCCTCCCAACTAGCCAGGGGACCCTGGACAAAGCACAGCTTCTCTGACCCTTAGTTTCCTTCCTTGTAAAATCAAACAGGCAAATCGTGACAGTACCTTTCAATGCCAGCACCCTCTGCCTCTGGCTGCCTTGCTTGGTCAGCAGCATCATGGAGCCCTCCTAAGGGGAGCCCCCTGAGAGGGGTCCTGACTACAGGCCAAGGAAGAAGCTAAAGGGAAAGATTTTCTTGTATACCTGGCCTCTCCTAACTATTCCCGGCCTGCATGCTCTGGGACAGGCTGGCATAGTCTCTCTTGGGTTTTTTAAAGTCCTTTTCTGAGCTATCATGTACATACAGTAAAATGCACAAGTTAACCATACAGCTCAGGACCTTTCATCTATGTTTTCAGCTGTGTAACCTACCCCTTCTTTGACCTTTTACAGGAATGCCCCTGTCACCTCCCTGCCTGTGACCCACCCATGTGTTGTAATACCTCTTGAGTTGGCTTCCTCACACATGACAGCACCCGAGGCTTGCTGCAGTGTGACCTGAGCCTACCTGCCCAACCTATCACCTGTGATATTCTCTTGGTGCCAGGAAGGGTTGTTGTT